GGCCAGGGGTCATCCCTCAGAGAATCTCACTGCCATGCATAAAACATCGTCCCCTGAAGCTAGATCACTTGTGCTCAACACTTGGCTCTGTCTCTCATTAGTAAGTTAATGTTCTATGCCTCAGTTTCTTTCTCTATCTGTAACTGGGGATAATGATAATACCTACCCTAAAGGGATTTCTTTTTTTTTTTTTTTGTCTTTTGTCTTTTTCCGTGTCCGGCAACGGATCGCAACCCTCAGTGTTGCCCCCGTACCGGACCAGGGACCGGCAACGGGATTGCAAACCTCGGCGTTGCTCCCGTGCCTCGCTCAGCCAGTGAGCGGGAGCCGGTCCGTATGTGGGATCCGAACCCTCGGGCGGGAGCGCCACCGCGCTTCCCAAGCGGCGCACTACCCAGTGCGCCACCGGGCCGGCCCCATACTAAAGGGATTTCCACGAAAAGAAGATAACGTGACACCAAGACAACTAGTCTATCCACTCCACATCATTGATGAGGTCTAGTTTTTAAATTTTCAAAAGCACAAGATTAGGTGGGCAGTTCAACACTGAGATAAATCGCTTACCACTGCATCCAAGAACTCAATGCGCCTCTTTAGGGAAGGTTCTGTATCACAGAACTGCCTGAAGAGAAGTCTTCCTATTGGCTGCTTGTCACAAAGACTGCTGTAATCCTTTTCTGGGTGAAGAAAGGGGATAAGAAGCAAACAAAATAATCATTACACTCCACCAAGTGCTGTTCTGAACCTTACTGTTTTCGCTTGATACAATAAAAGCCAAAAACAGTATTTGCTGTATTATTTTTTAAACTACTGTTTTGTTTACTAATATAGACTGGGTTATAATGAACGTTTAAAATTCCCAGGCAGAGCATAGATAGCTGGCAGAACTCATAAAGGTGTATGACGCCTGACGCGAAAGGGCCTGCTCTTCTCCAAAAAGGAACTGGGCAGTCAAGGTCACAACAAAGGAAGAGAGGGGCAGAAAAGAGATCTCAGTCTGTCCTTCCACTACTCCGCCCACCCTATATGCTTGGCACAAATTGCATGTATGTAAAATATACTGCAGGAGTGTACTAAATTAGGTTTTTTCTTTTTTTTTTTCCTCCTTTTTGTCTTTTTTCGTGACCGGTAACGGGATCGCAACCCTCAGTGTTGCGCCCGCACTGCGCTCAACCAGTGAGCGGACCGGTCTCTATATGGGATCCGAACCCTCGGCGGGAGCACCGCTACACTCCCAAGCGCCGCACTCTACAGAGTGCCCCACTGGGCCAGCCCCTAAATTAGGTTTTTAAAACTCTTTTCCATTTTGCTACCTTTCTATACCTTCAAAAAGTTACAAATATTATATATGCTTAATGGTTTTTTTAAACTGCTCTTTATTTGTTGTTTTTTCTTTTCATAAGAAATACGTTACATACCTTACCTCAAACACTGATACTGTTTAGAGGACAAGTCACTGATATTTGGTAAGCATGACAAGAGGAATATAAAACAAAAAATCTTACGTCCAAAATAGTTAATCAAACTTCAGCAAGAAAATCATTTGCTCTCTTAGCAGTGACTCTCAACTGAAATAAACATGATTATGTTCAGGTACCCCTAAAGTGACTCTAAAGCTGAACAATTAAGTGAGCCATAACAATTGAAATCCCTCAATTAAAGGGTTTATTAATGCCAAGTAATTCTGGTAATCTAAAAAATCCTGTTTTGGATCACTGAGTTTTGCACCTGAAAATGTATAGGTAAGGAGTTTGAAGGTTAATTCTAGATGTCAACCTGGTTAGATGAAGGAATGCTGAGAAACCCGGCAAAGCAATCTTTTCAGGTGTGTCCATGAGGGTGTTTCCAGCAGAGATTAGTATGACAGTCTGAGTGGCCTGGGTGTGAAAGACCCACCCTCAGTGTGGGTGGGAACCATCCAATCCGCTGGGGGTCCGGAGAGAACAAAAGACAGAGGAAAGAGGTGAATTTCAATCTCTTTTGATCTGCTGGAGCTGGGATACACTCTTCTCTCCTGTCTGTGGACATCAGAACTCAAGACTCTTCAGCTTTGGGGTTCCAGAACTTATTACACCAAGGACACCATCAGCTTCCCTGGTTTTGAGGTGTTTGGACTTGGACTGAGCCACACTACCAGCATCCAGTTTATAGATGGCTTATCGTGGGACTTTTCTTCATAGTCACGTGAGCTAATTCCCCTAATAAATCCCTCTCATGTAATTATAACATATCCCATTGATTCTGTCTCTCTGGAGAACCCTGACTAATATAGGAGATATATGTACAGATAGATAGATCTATCACCAGTGCAGAACTGGTTGTTTCAACAAACATCACAACAGTTTTGCAAAAATTCTGCAATCCACTTTGTCCAATTTTGCTGCTACATTTTATTTTAGGGATATTCATTAACCATACTTAGAAAATCAGAGACAAAGCCAGTCAAAAAGCTATGTTTTTGAAATGTTGAGTTTTTAATACTTTCCTCCCTAATTCAAAAGTCCCCAAATGTTCCTAGTTTTCCAGCTGAGGATGGCAGACAGAGCATACATGTCTGCCTACTGAAATTACCAAATATTAAAGCAAAACCAAAACAGCTAAAAGAATGAAATCCTCAGGTATTTGAATTTTGAGGATTTCCTGGAAGAAAGAAAACAGATGGAGCTGGATCATTAAAGAAACCATCAGCTCAAGCCCCAGAAATAAGCTGGGCCTCCTAAGAAAGTTCCTCCCCAATACCTAGATCGTGGGAGCCTATCCCCAATCCTGACAGAATGGCTCGCTGAGAGGCTTTTCCTTTGGGTTGGTGGGCATCTGCCAAGAGAGATACTGGGACCTGAGAGGAAGGGGCAAAACACAGCTTGGAAGCTAAAGTGCTTTTCTAGCAAAGTAAAGCAATTCTGTCTGTGGCTGCTGGAACACATGCCCTGGCAGGATGCTGCCCATTGGCACACACCTACCAGGACCCCAATCATGAAAGAGGAGGCCCGGGGAAAATGGAACTGCGCTACCACAGGGGAAAGCCATGCTGGCCGCCTGCCTTAACAAATGTAGCCTTTAGTATAAACTCAAATAAACCACCTCAGGTCTCTGGACATTAGGGGAAAAAAAGCAGCAGCTAAAAACATTAAATATAAAAAAATAACCAGCAGAAACACTGAACCAGGAGAAAACAGAAAATGTACCTTTTAAAATCCTAAGTATCCTCTGAGATACTGAAGAGACTGTTAGAGCCATCAAACAAGAACAGCCAACATGAAAAAGCAATCACAGAACAAGAGAAAATTCTTAGAAGTTAAAAATGCGAGGGCCGGCCCGGTGGCGCACTGGATAGTGCGCCGCTTGGGAAGCGCGACGGCGCTCCCGTCTGAGGGTTCGGATCCCACGTGCAGACCTGCTCCCGCTCACTGGCTGAGCGAGGCGTGGGAGCAACACCGAGGCTTGCAATCCCGTTGCCGGTCCCGGTCCGGTACGGGGGCAACACTGAGGGTTGCGATCCGTTGCCGGACACGGAAAAAAGACAAAAAAAAAAAAAAAAAAAAAAAAAAAAAATGCGATTAGTAGAAAACACTGTGGAATGGGCTTAAAAATACTTTGCACATGCATAAAAGCACAGATATTGATCTGAGTAATAAAGAAGAAAACTAAAATAAATGGTGAAAAGCAAGCAGAAAATATGAGAAAATTTTGAAATGTTAAAACAGATCCAGAAAGACAAATATCTAATAGAAGTTCAAAGGGGAAAGCCAGATAAAATGGAAGAGAGGAAGAGGGAGACAGACAGATAGACATATAGATAGACAAATACAGGGGGCATAAAATTTTTCTCAGGCCAAAGATGTAAAGGCCCCACTGAGCACTGAACATAACTGATGAAGCATGACCCACACCTAGAGATACCCAGGACATGTCCAACGCTAAGGAGAAACAAGAAATCCTAAAAGCCTCTGAGAAAGAAATAAAAATTAGCTACAAGATGTAGTGAATCAGAAGGACATCTGCATAAGTAAAGTTGAGGGCTAGAAAAACCAATGTTTTCAAAATTTGGAGAGTGTGTAAATCTTATTCAATCCTATAAATATCAAATAAGAAGGCAAAAAAAGGATGCTTTCCACAACTTAACAACTTGGAAATTTTACCTTCCATGTATCCTGCGTTAAAAAAAAAATCACTTGAGGAGCTATAACAACAAAATGAGAAAGAAATCAGAGGACAAAGCAAGAAGGATGAATCAACAGGTATAACTCAGAAGAAGCAAAGAAAACTAGAAAAAGTAAATAACTGTATAAAGACATTTGAAAGATTATCCTTGGCAAAGTCTGGACAGAATATTTTCTTCCATATGTCTCCAACTATATCTACCTGGTTCTAGATTATATGGTATACGTACATAATAATACTATTGTACTACTGTTACTGGATTTCAATTTTTAGAACAAACTATGACAAAGATACATGGAAAGTAAGTGATTTACCCAACAAACAGTTCAGAGTGCCTGAAAAAGGGACACAGAGAGCAAATACAGAAGAAATGAAGCTTTAAAGACAAGACTGGGATCAGCTCTTCAGAAAGCCTTCATGTTGAACCAAGGGGTCTGTCTCTACTTTAGAAGGAACAGAGATAAAGAATAATAGTTATAGGTGACATTTGTCCACCTCTTTCTCTATGCCAGGCACTATCGTCAGTCCTTTCCAGGTATTACTTCACTTAGCCTTCACAATAATACTTATATGTCTGGCATTTTAAGGACATCAGAGACCTGCTGGTGGCAACTGCCCACTTCCCAGAACTTCCTCAATCCCAATCAGGGGCTACAGAGATGATCCCAGGAGGCAGGAGAGACTAGGGCAGGTGACCAAGGAAGAGCATGACTGAGGCCAGGGCCACGGCAGCAAGGGTGGGAAGGAGGAGGTGAGTTGGTGACAAAATGAATTTGGGGAGGCAATTCATCCAAACCACTCTGAGTCCCTCCTTTGTAATACAAATGACTGGAGCCCCATTCTCAGGAACCTACAGAGGGGACAAAGGAGAAAGCAGGTAGCTAAGTACAACCGATGGGCAAAAAGATAGAAGGAAGCACTGCTCCTTGAAAGGGGAGCCCGTGAACAGCCCAGGTGAGAGGAGCAGGGAGCAGGGTGGTCACAGGCCCCGGCTGACCATGCGGAGACAAGACGTGCATGGGTAGGCAGCACCGGAGAACTGTGAAGGTCACGGCTGACACAGAAAGAGGATGGCTGGTGTGGCCACATGGGTAGGGGGAGGGGCTGCAAAACAGTCGCCAGGGTTAAATGTGTTGAGTGGGACATAGATACCTTTGGGACATCTAGGGCTTAAAAACTGCTCTGGAGCTCACAGAGACCTGGGAAGGACACCAACACAAGTCAGGAAGAAGCCAGACTGCAGTGGGTTAAGAGTGAACAGGTTGGGGGCCAGCCCGTGGCTCACTCGGGAGAGTGCGGTGCTGATAACACCAAGGCCCCGGGTTCGGATCCCATATAGGGATGGCCGGTTCGCTCACTGGGTGAGCGTGGTGCTGACAACACCAAGTCAAGGGTTAAGATCCCCTTACCGGTCATCTTTAAAAAAAAAAAAAAAAAAAAGAGTGAACAGGTTGGTAGGGATTTTTCAGGCTAAAATGGCAGAGCCGCCTAAAATGGCGTTGGCCATGCTACTGTT